AGCTAGCTAGCTAGCTAGCTAGCTGGATGAATGGATAGATAGATAGATAGATAGATAGATAGATAGATAGATAGATAGATAGATAGATAGATAGATGCAAATAGCAGCTGAATAAGCTATCAGCAAGAAAAGATTGTGAATTATTGCTAACGTTTCTTAAGAGGGATCGTGCAGACTTTGGATTAGGCATGGAGGACCCAAGACCGAGGAAAAGAGCAAGAGACACCGACACCCCACATCCCTCTCCGCGGTTCCTCACCTGGTATTTGGCTCCAGGGCGGTGGCGGGCAGTGCTGACCAGAAGGCAGATGTCTCCGTCTCCTCCGGTTGGCTTCCCCAGGGCGAGCAGAGCCCTGGCAGCGCGTCCCGGGGCGCGTATCCCCGCTGAGGGCAGCAGGCGACTCACCACCACCACGTCGCACGGGAGGCGCATTTCCGACGAGCTCCGCCACAAGCGCCGCACCAACTCTTTCAAAACAGACCGGCTGAGAGGAAGGCGCTTCCCGCCACCTGCGCGCGCAACCCACGGAGGAGGAGGAGGAGGAGGCGGGGCCTTTCTTCTTCCATCTCTTCCACGCTTGCGCGTCTCTGCGGCCGGTTTCTTTTAGCGTCCGCGGCTCCGCGCCGACGCATTCTGAACGCGAGGGGTTTTCCCCCCCTCCTTTAAAAAAAAAACTGTGCTGGGAGTATTGTGGTTCTTTATCGTCAAGTCGACGTCGACTCACGGCGGCCTTGTGAAGAATTGGCCTGAACTGAGTTCGTTCTTCAGTTCAGGGGCTTATTGCGTAATTCCTATTTTACGCAAACGGCGTTAAATTGGGGAAGTGTAACATGGATTGATCTCACTAGAATTAAATAAGAAAAAAATGACAGGCGGTTGAAGTAAACGCCATAGCATAGTCAGGACCCGCTTTCCTTGCATTTGATGTTGTTTATCAATACAGTATTTGGTTCAATACAATATTGGGTGCAATTACGTTTCTAATAAACCTTGGTCTGTGATGTATGTTGTGTCCTAGTTGAATTATCTGTTATGTTTTCTGATTTAACATTGCATTATATTCTGAAGGGTCTACAAACTCTTTGTATTGTTCCAACTAAGGAAGATCAAGACTTATCTTACAGACTCCTCTATTTGCTTTCTTTTTTAAAAAAAAAAATACTTTTTATTCAACATTTTTAAACATTAAAATCACAATTACACAATAAAATCACAATTGTTTTCTTAAGCATACAGCTGTCACTAAATTATTTCCCTACAATATACTGCATTTCAAAATCAATTAATATCCTACCAAAAAATAAAATATGGTAAAATCAAGCCCTATTGGATTGTCCCTAATTGTTTCTAATTCTGATAGGAGAGAGAGAACTGCCCAAGCAGCTAATATTTTTATAGGTATAAATATAGCAGAAACTAATTATTGTTACTGGGATTCAGAATTGGATTGTTCTGATTGGGTTATTTCCCCTAATTCATGCAGAGTTGGATATGAATTTACAGTGAGAACTATGTTATCCAATTCATTATAGCTGAAAATAGTAAAACTAAGAGATGTGGACTCCCAATTCCCAGAATTCCCCAGACAGCAATTTTAGTTCTTACTTTAATAAGATACCGGTATTAGTTTCTGAAATAGTCGAAGGTATTTATAATTTTCAGCTCCTTTTTTTAAAGGGCAAACAATTGTCCTTTTTTTGTAAAATACAAGTGTCCCCCAGCCATTTAAGAGAAAACAGCAATAACCAACTGTCCAGCTTTCCAGTGCTTTGTGTCTTTATTGAGTCGGGAATCTGGATCAATCTGATTATTTTGAGTCAAAAAAGAACCTGCAACAGTGCTTTTGTAGAGGAGCTGCTTGGAGTCTTTCTGGAAGCCTCCTTTATAGTGAGCCTCACATTTTGCATGGTGCTGACATTTGGCATATAAAGGCACGCATGATCCCTGATAGGGCTTAGCAGTTTAGTTTCTCAATATTTTTCAGCCATTAGACTAGAGCATATCAATGTGACTAACTTTCAAGAGTGGGAAACTTGTGAGAAATGGATTGAATATGGACTTCAGTTGATTCACTTCCATATAAGCCTGTGTTGGCAAACCTTTTAGGCACAGAGTGCCCAAACCTGGAGGTTCATTTGTGTGCGCATGCATGCGCATATGAGCACCAGAACACCGGAATCCCAATGAACAACTGGCTGGTGCACATGCACACCTTGGAAGCGCGACGACCAGCTGGCTGATCTGGGGCAACAGCGCACGTACCCACAGAGAGGCTCTGCATGCTACCTCTGGCACGCATGCCATACATTTTCCATCACAGATATAAACTGTGTGTATGTGCACACACAAATGTTAGAAAACACAATGGTGAGATTCTTTCCTGTCTGCTTTCAAATACAACTTAACAGCAGATGGATTGTTTTATCTGGGAATGTTTGAACATCTCACCCTCTGATCCTTACAGAATTAAAATAATGGGCATTTATAAAACCAGCCATTTCCTAAGATTGATCCCATTACCTTGCTGAGACAGATATCCATTTCTGATTCTTTCAACCTTATGGTGGCTTTTCCTTCCTTTGCGTCACTAAAAATATCTATCTTCTCTCTCAACTATTTTACACAGGAACAAAAAAGGAATAAGTACGTTGAAATAAAAATTAATAAAGAACATGTACATTCAGTATAGTCTTTCTCAGGTTCCCCGTCACTACTGTCTTCTCTTTCTCACCATTCTATTTGTATCATCATAACGATATTTCAAAAATCCACCCTGGGGTTTTCACATCAGGAACAAAATAACAATAATCCCAAAGAAGTTTTAGAAGTATGGAAAGCCACAAATTTTATATTTGAGAAGGTATAAATAAGCTTCTGCTTGACAAATTTGCTGTTTACCAAAAATGGACACTGATGGATGGAATGAGTAGACACAGAATATATTCCTTTAGAAACTTTGCTATCTACAAATCTAGGCCATCATCAACACAGAACAGGTTATGAAGTAGCTAAGGGCCATTACTGGGTTATCATGTGTAGGAAGTTAAAACCCACCCTCTCCTAGAAAAATGAAATATCCTGGGAAATATTGAAAAGGCAGAATACTAAATTCCCCTGGTTAAGAAATGGAGAAACATGTTTTTAGGCAGGAAACAGACTCACTTTTAATAGCCCTCATCTTTGTCAATTGACCATTAAAAGGCTTGAGCCAGTCTACTCTACATAACAAAGATCTCCCCCATTCAGTTCCAGGGTGGTGGGATTAAGGCATGATAGTATTAGCCCTTTACCCATCTCCCCAAATGGCCCCTGGGAAGAAGGAATGCTCAACCAAACTTGGACTCAAAACACAGCCTACAGAGTTGCCCCTGCATGGCCCCATGGGAGTCTGACAACCAATCAGAATACAAGCTCAACATCAAA